GTGATTTGCTGAGATCCATGGTAAGTAAATTTACCAGCCCCTTAGCCTATCATTATTGAACGCATGACCATTGTTTTAACCTTTTAACCTGCCATAACTACAAACACATCCAAGAGCTCTTGTTGTTGTTGGAGTAGCATAACTCAGTGATTCTCAAATGCATTGTTAGTACAGCAGCTCTTTAAATGCAACTTGCTGCAGTGAGCATAACTGTAGGACTTGTACTGCCATTACTTTGTGTTACATCCATGTTAGATAAGTATGTTAATTCTTTATTAACTAATTTCATTATATTTTAGCTTCGCCAGAAAAAGAAAATTGTTGCTAAGGTGGTTGTGTCTAGTTCTGAAAATAAGGAATTATTTGAAGCTCTTATCAGGTTAGAAAAGAATGTGAAGAATGTTTTGCTTTTCCTTCACCTTCTTAGTATTGTGGTTCTGGTAAGCTTGATACCAGATTAACTGGTGGCATATGTATGAGGGTGATGGCTTTAAGGGCTACAGTTAAAAATTTGGCCATTTTATGGCTAACAGTTTATTTCTTTTGATTATGGTTAAACACAGAATTTAGAAATCAACATCTTTTGTTTCAGTAATGGTTAAAATTGTCCATTTTTATGCCTAACTGCTAATTTATTTTTTCTGTTTTTCAACGAATGGCTAAGCCTGCTGAGACCCTCATGAATAGCCACTTGATATTCAAATATGTCACTCACTATGCTGAAGACAGATGTTACTTTTAAAACATTATGTTGGAGTTTGAATTTGTTTTATCATCTCAATTTTGAATTCATTTCTTTTACTCAATGATGTAATGTTGCATTTTAGATGGAAAGTTCCAGGCGTTATGGATGGAGATGAACCAAGAAGTTTTGTCACTCTTTATGAATTTGAGGGGTACATTTATATGCCTTTTTTTTGTATGGCATTTCTTTTTCTTTCAATTACTGTTTTTTGTCAACTGTCTTGATTTATGGGCTGTTTATTACAGTACATGGTATGTTTTTCTAATTAATACTTTCTTCTGGCACAACTTTATTAGGCTTGAAGCAAAAATAATTAAGCAAATGAAGCATAATGGGTTTTCTGATTGTTTTTTAGGCTTCCAGAGATTTTCAAAATCTTTGACCATCATTCAGAGGATCTATTGTCAAGTTTGTTAGAGGAAATAGAATGTTTCAAGAAGGAAGGCAAAAACTACTGGACTTCAAAGGTCTTGTTTCAAGTGATATTGTTAACTTATTTAATATTTTATTGGTTGATGTAAGCATGACTACTGCATTTCACTTGCTTGTTCCAAACCCTCCGCCCTTTCAGAGCTTACTCTCTGTATCCAACCATATCCACTTTACAAATAATTAAAGTATATTGATAAGGATCCTACAAAATGAATGCTGAAAGAAGGAGCTGATCTTTAGTACACTTCATCCTAACAACTTCAATAAGGACATTGTAATAGAAATTTCAGTTCAGTGGATGCCCACATTTCAAAACAGAGGGGCAGGAGAACCAGAAGGTAGTATTTTATCAATGGAACAAATTGCTTAAAGAGCTAGGATTTAACTGTACTGTTAGTGCTGTTAGACCATCAACTAAAGTGCAACTGCCTTTTTTTTTCCACACAGAAGGAGGAACAGCTTTGCTCTGAAGGAGGAAGCAGTTCTGAGGATCAATTTTCTGAAAGTGAACTGGGCATTGATGAAATTCAGCTTCTTTTGCAAGCTATGCAGTTTAGGAGGTTTGTATAAAGCAGATTTCTTAATAGTTTTTTAGATGGGGTGAACAATAGCACTTGATATGAAATTCAGACAGACAGTGTTAGGGCAGAATAAGTATAATGGTTGATTTTGAAATTTAATAACAAAGTATGTGGTTTACTTACTTCCTAGGAAGCGCATTCTTCAGGGGCTGATGTATGGTTGTTCCACTGGTGGCAGTGTTGATGAACTGCAGGAGGTGGAATTAAAGATTGAGTTACTGCAACAGGAAGTACAGCATAAACTAAAGAACTCAATATAGAACTAAGGGGGTAAGTTTCTAAAGAAACTGATACTATGTCTGTGGGAGAGTATAACAGGGTAATTAAGTATTGCCAACTGAGTTGATAACATAAATTGGCCACCATAGAGTTTAAAAGCTTAAACTCTTTATGGTGGTCAATTTACATTAACAACTCGGTTGATAATACTAAATTACCCTCAATATAGAACTAGTAAGTATGCAACAGATATAGTTAACAACTTCAGAAGCTTCCCACTTCCTCACCTCAAAGTCAAGGAAAAAAAGTCCATTCCATAATTATGCTATGCAAATGGCTCTACCATGGTGGTGTTATTCCAGAGAGCCTGAGTTTTAGTAAATATTAGTAAGTATTAGATTTGTATTTGTGCTAAGCATTTAAGAAAAGTTTCTCTTCTATAAGTTGTAGGCTTCTCTACTGAAGGAATTTGTACTGTTAACAGTGTTCATCAAAATTAGGAGACAGTATAAAGAGAAAATGGTGACTTGCTCTTTGGCTTTCATTAGTCTGGAATAAGTCCCCTTTTGGAAAGCCTTAGGTCAACCATGGTATAATTACTCAATAGAAATCGTCTTTTAAGGCAATACAACTGGGAAATATTGTGTTTGTCAAGTGCCAGCTTTTGTGAAAGCTTAAGGATCACTTTATTTGTAAAGACTCACAACAGGCTAACTGACCCAGAGTGCTTCTTTGGCCAAACTGAGAGTTGGTGTGATTTGGGCCTTTAAGGAGCAGGTACTCAAGGCAAATTTTAGCAATTTCTTACCCCTCTCTCAAAAACAACAAAAATCAGAATCTCTGCACTGGGCACACTGAGCCATTTTCTCCAATTATTGCAATGGATGTTTAGAATAACCTAGTTTGTTATCAGCTTAAGGCTCAGGCTCTTTCAAACTTTTCATTAATTTATCCATATCAATTACCAGTATGTCGGTATTAAGAACAGAAGAAAATTAAGGTGGCAGTATAGCCCAGTGGTTAGGTGCTGGACTTGTAACCTGGTGGTCCCAAGTTAAAGTCCTCCACCCTGTCACTCACAGGATTTATTCTTGGCTGCTCCTGTGTGAATAGCCAACTGGTCTGCCTCCTTCCAGTTGGGATTGCTGAGCACTTTGTGTTGATTTAAAATATTTGTTTCTCTCTCTTTCAGATTGTAAAGTGCTTAGAAGCTTGCAGCCAGGGCTATATAAATTGTAATCTCAATGCTTACTGATGACTGCAAGACTGAAGACTGGTGGACATGCAAATTAAACCAGTGAACAGTGTGCACTGCAAGATGATTGAATTCTGATAAAGATAACTTCTAAGAAAGAACACTCTGTTGCGTTATATGTTTCTACAAATCTAAAAGGCAGCGGACAAAGGCTTTTAGGGAACTTTGAGTTCTGTTTAAACCAGTACCTGTGTTTTACAAGAAAACCAAGATGACCCATTACTGAAGAATACTCACAATCGTATTACTGATTTTTATTCAATCTGAAATTAGATGTACAATACAGTCTACTTAACTAAATCAACTAGTAATAAACAAAACAATCAAAGAGCAAAGCGAGAATAATTGGTAACAGGTAAGCACCAAATCACAGGAACATGTCTGAAAATACAGTTCTCTGGCAAAAACTAAGCTACTTCAAATTGGACTAAACATATCATATCACGTTTCCAGTTGGGCGCATACAAGGTTATCAAAAGATCCTTAATAGTTCATTTTCTACATAGTTCAATTATTACATTCATATGAACAACCTGTTTTTAAGAACTTTCAATAGCTTTTAATGCAAACACGTTTCTTGGCAAAATGAAGCATCATAGATGTATGTATTTGCTATAGACACACAATATATTAAGTTTGAGAGTTTAAAATACCAGAGGTTTTTTTTCAAAATTATTATTAGTGGCAGTTTTTGGAGCCACATAATGTCCTTTATTTGGGCAGAGAAAAGCATCAGTGGCCTCTTCACAACTTGAGAACTTATTTAAAAAATGATTAATTACAAATTCCCATTTGTTTTAATATGAAATCGGCTGGAATTGACAGATAGTTAAAGATTTTCAAAAAGCTTTAAAGATTGTTATTTTTTTCCCCATAAAGAATTTTTGGAAGCTTAACACGCTGATGCATGGCTCCTTAGTAATGATAATTCATACTTACAGAGACATTGTTTATGTTTTGGAATACATATTTCAAAATTTTGATTATTTATGGACTCAGTTTTATGCCTGTAAACAAATTTGGCTTTCCTCATGTTTTGTAACTATCATAACAGGTAGAGGGGGAGAGGGGGTGGAGGGGATTTGAGGCTTAAGACCAAGTTTCATTCTGTATGTTTCCTAAGTTGAAGCACATTCAATCAATTGTTTATATTGAGTTGATATGAGGTTTATTAAAGCACCCTTATGTTAAGTTGTGAATGTTTTTTCAAAAAGTGGTGTTAAAAAGAGAACTTTTTGGATGAGTTGTAATTTAACAAGTTGGATCATGCTAACTGTAGCGGCAATACACAATTTTTCAGCCAATAGTTGATTGATACATGGGTTGATGGTTGGGTTATTGTTATGCATCATCTCAACCAAGGCTGTGGTCAACCACTGTCTGAATGTCAATTTACTAGTCAGCTGGTGACCCACTATCAGCCAAGAAACCTTCTGAGTCCCTTAAGACTGACCTATGTAGCTAGCACTGTAGCACCTCAAGAGTAGTAAGAAGCTCTGCTCCTCATTTTTTTTGGCAACATCACTTTTTTTTAATTGAGCTCCCAATAACACTAGCCACCCTAGTAAAGACCTGTCCAAAGAGTTTTTAAGTACCTGTTGACTCTAGTTATTTTTATTTAATTAAAAAAATTAAGTTGAATGGTTGTTTAGTCTCCCTAAATGGTCTGGAAGGTGATAAACTCAGCTTTGTTTTGGCAATATGATAACATTCCCTTTACACAAGTGCTTTGGATTTCCACCCCAGTTGTTATGTTGTATTAATGGTGATGAAGCTATTGTGCAATTTTTGTTTAATTTTCTAAGCCCCAAATCGTGTCATGCTAACATTAAAGGTAGTCTCACCATGCTTACCTAAGCCTCGTGTTATCAGTTGGTATAACTGCAAAGTGAGTGCTGACCATTTACTCCCTCACTTGAGGCATACAGTGCTTATACAGGTAGGGCATGGAATTCCACAGTTTGGAGAGTCGTATCTATGAGAACCCCTCTGAAGTTTGTATTAGTCATGGAAAAGCTACATTTTTTGAGGCTACGAAAGTCATGGAATCTGAGTGTCAATATAGAGAAAGTCGTGTAAAATGATTAAAAACTAGTCTCCTGAAGAGAACAAGAGGAGCAATGCCTTAATGACTATTTTCTAATTATTTTGAAACTAACTTCACAATCGTAAGCAAGGAAAGCTCGTTGAGAGATTTTGGAAGTCATAAAACTTTATTAACTGGAAAGAAGACAAACTCTATTTGGGTAGAGGGTTGCTTGTCCTAAGAATACAACTCTTAGAACCCAGGAATGGACTATAAAGCTTCTTAAAGAGTTTATAGAATATCTTTTATAACTACTCTAAAACAACTTATACGAGCGAGAGGCAAGCAAATCCAATTCGCTCATGATGCGGATCGAATAAAGGAATTTAGAGCAGACAAAAAAAACCGTAAACCGTCTTCCTTCAACGCAGCTGTGTCGAAATTAATAATTTTCAAACGTGCAATGTTTTTATACTTTAACACAAATAAATTGAGATAGACAGTAACTTAAAAAGGTGAATTGTGTCCGAATAATTTTTGTCAGTTTGTAAGGAACATAAGGCTGAGTTTCTATCGTTGACAATGTTTCCAACATAAACAAGCCACCTTCTTCCTACAAGTTCCTGTCCTGGTTTGAATCGAAGAAATATCAACCGACCCTAGATAATAACACAAACTTTCGATTGAACGCGCGTTCCAGAAGCAAGTTGAGTCTCGGCAGATCCGACTTCCAGATGATTGCGTTCAACTTCAGCAATATTCTCGAACGCCTGCTGGACTTTAAAAGGACTTCTTTTATCCCCAATTAAGTTCCTCCTCTTCTCTACTTCTCGTGTGCGATGAATAGCAAAGGCCGTGTCTTCATATCGTTGTTGAATGTATGCTTGAAGCTCTGAAGAAGTCCTCTTCTTGCTCATACGACCGACCGCCAAGGACTGTGAAAGATCTCATTTACTTATCCACCACAGACAAGCATGATATGCTTAGATACGTCAAAATTTGAAATTAAAGCGATATCTTTGAAAAATTCTTTATAACCGTAAAAGCTTTCGAGTGTATTTTAAAAGGAAAATGTTTACATCCTCTATTGATTCACTACGCAGTAGCCATGACAGTTGTTCCTCAGTGCTCATTTCCAGACCCTTGGCAGTGTTGAGGGTAAACCTTGATTGAGGTCACATCCACAACAAACTCCGCAAGGAGAAAATTTTATTGAGGTATGTAGACCTTTCTGGTCTTTTTTGTTTCTTCAGAATATTACTACCAGAAAAATCACGTGAAAACAAAGGTAGTCCCATGGGATCCTCCGGAGGTAAGCGTAGGATGCCTTTGCTTGTATGTCAATATCGAGTTGAGGGGAACTGTGTCTTTATCATCATTGACCAGAGAATAGATTTGAGAGCCACCAAAGAACAGGTAAATTGCTTTTCAGTGAAGCCTGAATCACTACTAAAGTTTTTTTTCTATTATTATCGGTGAATTTTAGTGGGTTGCTGGATTGTTTTTTCCTTCGATGGAGGTCTAACAATGAGTGTTGTTCTCGCCACATTACAAACACTTGGTTGTGGACCTCAAAGATATTGTACGTGCCTTTTTATTAACGCTTGAGGTAAAGCGGGAATGAATTATTTTGGTATAAAAATGTGTTTAATTACGAGAATTGATTCGAATTTAATGTTGAACCTGTAAAATTCAACTACACTCTTGACAAGTTCTAATGTTGCAGGTAAATTTGAACATAAACAGATTTAATATTAATTCTTTCTTATCACCTCTCTTGCCGTCAAAAGACCTCACGGATTGTATTTGATACAGTTTGGTGCAGCAATCTATAAAACATTTTTAAAAAAAGGGTCTTTTCATTCGACGCTTGTAATGTTTATCTTCGAGCTGAATGCTCCTCAGAGCGTGATGATAATTCATTGTTCAATGATCTCGCTTTAACACGCATTGGGGGTGAGTCAGTTTATTAGATGCCTTTCTACAAATCGTTACTTTTTCATAGTTAAGCTTGCTTTTAATCTAAATTGATGAACGACCCGAAACTAAAACTAGATTTACATCAGATTTTTTAACTTACCAATGCAGAATGACCTTTTCATTAGTTTACATTTGTAATCGAATTATGTTTTGATTGACCTCGGTCGAAAGCTTTGCCCACATAATCCAGGGTTTTCGCGTCGTGGTATCGTATTTTGACAGTGGAGTCTTGAATTTGCCTACAATGCTGATAAGATTCAAAATTTGGAAGAAGTACTCTTGAGCGAACCCTGTCATTTAATATTGTTCTTTGGTAAGCTGAGTAAATTATCCGAAATTTGCATGATTGTAGTCAAACATGAGTCTAAATATTTTGGAAGTTCCGGATGCTTCGCTCTGCAATTAGGTTGAAACAAAAATTGCGGATTCAATTTCCTTTCCTCGTGTTTAACCTTGGTGTCGACGTGAGGAAGGAACTAATGGTGAAGGTCAATTCATTTTCATGCTCTTCAGTACCGGAATTATTCACATTGTTTTTTCGACGAATGGAGACGAACTCTTTCCATTCAGCTCGGAACTTATGGCAGAGCTCTCGAACAAAGCTTGTAAATTTTTTAAGACAACTGACCAATTTGTTGATTTGCAATTTTTCAATTTTTAAGTTTTTTGGTTCTTTTGAATTTTCAATGGCATCAATGTGTATTTTACTGGTGAAGAATTGTATCGGAAATTCATACAGATTTATAACCTTTTCTAAGATCATTCAATTTTTCACTTGTTCGTCGTTCACGTTTAGTTGTGAAAATGTACATGCGCAACCGCGACAATGGAAGTTCTATTTCATTTAGCTGCTTCATTAAGACAGGGGCCAAAGGGTTCTTTATAGAATACACAAGCCAGGGAAAATTTGTTCAATTAAAAAAAAGAAACAGAAAACCGATGGAAACGCGTAGTATTTCTAAAGAGACACTCTTAAGAGGTTTGAAAGAACCTTCCGGTGGAAATTCTGGGAACATTTCTGACTGCCTGGAATTTAGTCCATTTAAGATCGAGCCTGGCTGCCGGTCTTTCGTCCACTGCCTTCTATTTGAACCACGGAAAAATGAAACCTACTTCTCTCTGATGAGAGACTTTCGGGATCCTTTCTGCAGAATAGGCATATTATCTTTTGGGACAGATATCTAAAAACTCTTGATTACAAGACCTTACAACCTCCACTGCTCATCCCTTCACCATCTTCAAGATAAAAAAATTACTCTGTTTTAATTTCCGTTTCCATAAGCCCTCCTTCACTAAATTCGATTAATTAATTAGCATAACTTCTTACAAACCAGCTTGACAGAGTTTGGCTTTTTTTTCTTCGAATACAGTTTTTAGAGCTTTTGTGAAGCTTTTGAATCATAACTTAAAACGAAAATGAAATCAAAAGTAAGAATTTGCCTTTATGGCGGTGCTTGTTGCTAAACAATACATTATGAGCGGCCGGATTTCGCAGTCTCCCGTGATTTTATCGTGGTTAATAACCTTTTCATCGTAAAAAGCAATATTCTTGAATAAACATCAAGTGAACGTAGCTTTTGGAGACCTTAGCGGAGAAGCTGAAATTAATAGTTGCCCAGTTGTACCGAGTGGTTTCGTTGATAGTTTAGCCATAAGCAGAATCGATCAAGATATGTAAGTTTATACTCCGGAGAGGTTTTAAATAGTTCAGTTGTCATGCGTTTACTTAAATGTGTCGATTGATATTGTTTGGTTTTTGTTTGAAATTAAAAGTTGTTTACGAGCTATTTATTGCTTGTCGGTGATTGGTTCAAAGAGGCTTGGGTATAAATGCAATATAAACGGACATAGACTGATATACCCAGAGGATTACCGAAGTTCACAGAACTAGACTTTGCTCTCGTCTTCAATGATAAACCGGCAGACAAATTGACAAGGTCGCCGCGATTGAATTTGAAATTTCCCGGGATCTTTGGTAGCCACATGCCTTACAAAGTTATGTAATGTTGAATTTTGGATCCAATCATTCAAAACAAGATCTTCCTTGTTTGAGCTTTTTAGACTGGTTTTCACTTTCCGTACACTGACATTTTTCAGCTGACATGGCGGACATAAACATCGCTGGTGTGGTATCCATTGTAGTGTTTTATCTGTTAATCCTTCTTGTTGGCTTGTGGGCGGCTCGCCGGCGGAAGGAAGGCGAAGAAGAAGCCATGCTAGCCGGCAGAAGTATTGGAATATTCGTGGGTACATTCACTATGACAGGTAAAAGAGATGTTCTGACATGCGAGAGAATCGAAACTATTTTTTTGCATTTCCAGATTCCATAGCGAATGCAGTTGTAGTCAGTAGGATATTTAAATGATAAAGCTGAACAAATGCTGTTCACACCCGGAAGTATCTGATTGCTCATAATTAATCTCGTCGTCATTGATTTGTCTTTCTGTTCTTTTGTTAAGTTTTTTGTTAATTTTGTAGTTTTGTTTTTCATTTACATTCTTATTCACTCTTTCTAACGATGTTTCAACTTAAGAAAGTTAACCAATTAATTTCTTTTTTTTCTAAGATAACCATTAAAATTATAGCAATTTTATTTGCTCAGTACGAAATAAAGCTTGATTCTTGATCCCGCAAATAGTTATGACGCTCACCAAGGCGGTTACAACAACAATTAACGATGTAAGACTTATTTTAACTACCAGCGACCAGAAATTGAAAGATGTCATATAATCAACCTTATATTGACACATTTGTTCTGCAAACAAGATACACCCTACAAACATCGATAAATTACGAAACGAGATGCAATTTTCAGTCGAGGTTTATTCAATCAAAGACCGTAAGCAAACAGCGACCGCGACGGCATCGAGGATGAGACAAAACAAAAGATCTAATGAGCTGAACAATAGCTCAGCACGTGCGTTCTAAAACTTTGCACGTTTCTAAGCCGTCCTCTGTAAAACAACAGCGTGAAATCACCAAGATTTTCACAGTAAATTCTTAAATTTTCCATTTGGAACTCAATACTGCTCACGCATAGTATGCTGAAGTTTAGGTGTGGCGCCGTTAGAGATGGTAAACACACCCAACCCTTAGCGAAATTTGTACTAAAAATATAAATTCATTTTCCAATCGACATCTTCCTCGGCGTTTTCGTTTTGATTGTTTAAGGTCCCTAACAAAATTTAAGATGTTAATTATACGTGCTTGTTTATTCAATAGCGACGTGGGTGGGTGGAGGATACATCAATGGTACTGCAGAAGTGGTGTTTGACTCTACACAAGGTCTTGTCTGGACGCAGGCTCCTTGGGGATACGCTTTAAGTTTGGTTATAGGTAAGTAGCAAAAGAAAGACAGCACTCTATCACTGTGATTGAAGGGAACTTGAATGGAAATAATTCTTAGCACACGAACACTAAAGCTTCCCTAAATAAGCTTGCAGTTGAGCAAGTTCGCTCGGGAAGGAAATGGCCGGGTGGCGAGTTACGTTCCTGGTGTTAAACCATTTGAACTCAGAGGCAGAGAATGGTATAACGTGATATCCTTCTTTTTTTAAGGTGGCTTGGCCTTTGCCAAAATCATGCGCAAAAAAGAGTACTTCACAATGCTAGATCCCTTCCAAGAAAAGTACGGTCCGCGCATGGGCGGACTGTTGTACATTCCTGCTCTGTTGGGTGAAATATTTTGGTCTGCAGCTATACTGGCTGCTCTTGGAGCAACCATCAGTGTAGTGATCAGCCTGAATGAAACTACTTCTGTCATTGTGTCCGCGTGTATCGCTATTTTCTACACTCTGATTGGTGGACTGTACTCTGTAGCTTACACAGATGTCATCCAGCTCATCTGCATCTTCGTAGGATTGGTGAGTATGGTCAGCGGCTTCAAGGAGCTACGTAATATATATTTTTATGGCGTGACAAGTTTATTTAAAATGAGGAAAACCCTGATCTAATCACTTGCAAGGGTACGCAAACACCAATAAATAATGCAGACGCGGAAAAGGAAAAGGAATGGGTATGGATGTCGAAGATGTTCATTGGTTGCATGACCAAATTGAAGACGGTAAACTCAATTTTTAAGATGGAAAGACCGTCTGTAGCTTCTGAAAATGTTTATTTCTAAATAGGTAATTTTATTATAACTTCTGTCTTGTCTGTGGGGAAGGAAACATCGATGTATTAAGTAACAGTCTTTCCAATTTCGCCGTCATTGTGCTGTTCATTTTGTTTCATTAGTCTGGATGTTTGTGATATTTTGTGCACTGACCCCCTGGATCTGTTCCTTACAGTGGCTTAGTATTCCCTTCGCCATGACACATTCAGCAGTGAGCAGTATTTCAGACACATCCACTCAGTGGGTGGGTGAATGGTCCAACACGTATGTTGGAGTATGGCTCGACTATGCCCTATTACTGGTAAATATATTTCTTTTTCTATTATATTATGCGTTTTTACTTTGTAAAGCCAAAGAATAATTTGGTTATTAAGTGAGTCTGATAAGGAGATACAATCAGGTAATATTAACGACTCTCCTACGTTCTCTAATCGTGTGCGGAGTATTGATAATGGTCTGGTAATCATGTCAAGATACTTGTTACTACCATACACCGCAATGATCCATGGGAATTAAATGTGGTTAGACACTTCACACTGTTTGTATATTATTATTAACTCTTTGCACCTAACATCTTGCACATTTTCCATAAAGTTGTCCTTGCATTTTCTAAGGTACTGACAAGGAGAATTTGCTGAACAATCAAGAACCTTTTAGTGATCATTTGTTCTCGTGACCCTTATGTTTGATTTAGGGGTGATATTGAAAGGAGAAATTAGACGCTGGTCACACTTGGGTGCCAGATGGTTAAGTCAGTCCGAGGTATTATATCAAGTTACTGAAAAATCGACCAGTTCTCGCTACAAGTTTTGAAGAACATTCTGTCGGTAAGGTTTTGGAATATTGCCGAGAGTAATATGTGTTTTATCTCCTGTGCAGACATTTGGTGGTATTCCATGGCAAGTTTACTTTCAGCGAGTGCTGTCATGTAAAACAGCCGCCAAGGCCCAGGGTCTTTCCTTCGCAGCTTCGTTTGGATGTCTCTTAATGGCTATCCCAGCAGTTCTCATTGGAGCGATTGGTCGCTCTGCAGGTAAACACTAGATTCCGTACTCAAGAAATAAAAATTCCATCATCTTCCAGGACTTTTTAGCCTTAATGTGCATGTGGTTCTTTCTGAAAAAGTCTATGCTCTTGAATTTTTTTGTATTGTCTTCAAGTACAAAAAAAAAAAAAACAATGTTGGCAACGTTTTGAATGAGTTTGTCTTTCATGCAAATTTGAAATATTTCATCAAATCAAGCAAGTGTAACGAAATCAAGCATAACTGCTATGATGAGAGTTGTTGGTCTTTTAAAGGCAACTAAATTCATCACTGAAAGAAATTCCTGAATCTTATGTAATGTCACTCTAGACTGGACCAGAACAGATTTCTTCGAGCCGTCTGGTAATGCTACCAATCAGACGGCGGAGTTTAAAAAGTCACTAGTCCTTCCCATGGTGCTTCAGTACCTCACACCAACAGCTGTTTCCTTTATTGGTCTGGGTGCTGTGTCTGCCGCTGTCATGTCTTCGGCAGACTCCAGTATCCTGTCCGCCAGCTCCATGTTTTCTCGAAACGTCTATAAACTTATCTTTAGACAAAAGGTAAGTGATAAAAGTTAGTGATCACAACGTCTTCACTGACGTATCTTCGTTTTTTGGATTTGATGTGGCTTCTATGAATATTCTTTTGGGATCTCTAGTTTTGTAAGGTGGTTTTTTTAAACACTTCCTTAGAACACTGCCCCATCATTTACTGACGATTTAAAATTCGTCAAACCATCCTTGAGTCCATTGCGTTGACACCAATTAAATTATTGGGGAGAATTTGCCTGGCAGTAATCTTCGAAGCACATGAACATGTTTACGGCACAGAATGCCTTCTCTCTTCATAAAAGTTAACGATTTTACCAAAGTCTTTAAAAATTCTAGTTTCCTTGGCAGCTGTTGCTTGGTCGACATGCGCTCTGACGATGAGCTAACGCTCGAAACGTCAGCTCAAGAAATTTTTACGTTGGTCAATTTTCTTTACTCTCTTAGTTGATAAAACCACATCATTTTGTAATACCTCTCACCGACGCAGCACCGCAGTTTCTTTAGAGACTTGCCACTTCGATGCTTGGTGTCGCTTGACGGAGCTAAGTGAAAGCCTATAGACAGACGTAATAAATTGTGTACTGTACATAGTTCTTAGTTCCTCCCTACCCGAGAATCTAGAACATGTGAAACGTTGAGTATCAACGCTGAACTAAAGTACAAACCTTATTTGTTAGGCCTCCGAGAAGGAAGTTGTGTGGGTGATGCGTATAGCCATATTTGGAGTTGGCGCGGCCGCTACAGCCATGGCTCTAGCAGTGGGCTCTATCTACTCCTTATGGGCCTTGTGCAGTGACTTGGTGTATGTGATCCTATTTCCGCAGCTATGCTGTGTCATCTATTTTGATGGCACCAACACCTACGGCTCCTTCATGGGTTACGTACTGGGCATGGTGCTGCGCATTGGGGGAGGGGAAGATAAAATTGGTATTCCACCGTTCATAAAGTACCCGTATTATAATGACTTGGATGGCCAGCTGTTTCCTTTCCGTACCTTAGCTATGGTCGTTTCATTTGTTACAATTGTTGTGGTGTCGTATTTGCTGAAGTTTTTGTTTGAGAGAGAAATTGTACCACTGAAGTTTGATTTTCTTCGTTGCTTTAGGCGATACGATTTAGAAAAACAAACAGGTGCCGAGAAATACGCCATGGAGGAAAGCAGGGCGTATTGACCTTTGATCATCTACGACATTTTGAAAATATGAGTCTGTTGCAAGACTTCCAGACATTTTATTTTTGACCACTCGATTCAACGGCCTGAAGCTAATAAGTGATCAAGTTTTCACAGATCAAAACCCGTCAGTTACACCAAACCTACAGTGACAACGAATCAATGTTAAGAGCAGAACGAAAATAAGTAACAATTTTCGAGTGCCAGGAAATAAGGATATTAAAATCGTGGTAGGTTTTGAGTACTATCCTATAGAGTGATCAGTAACGTGAGATTTTTCTTCGGCTAATCACAAACTTTTGTATGAATGTAACGAAAGCTTTACTGCCGAATGTAAAATGAAATGAAAATCTTCAGAAGTGTAACAACGTAAATGTCAGTTTTTGGCTTCGATACAAAAAGTCTTGCTATGAACCGAGACGATTTAGTGGTCGATAAGATTGGAAATCAAACCTATCTCTGAGGTATGCGTGACATATGCTTCCTGCCCTCGGCGTGTTGACGTAATCGTCACGTTGTGTTCTTTGACTGTGACCCTCCGTTGGTTCGGGTGTTTGGCAACACTGAAATTGAAACTAGACACTTTTAACACATTATCTACAAATAAAACGACTTTATCATTTGAATAGTCACTCGGTAATCCGCTTTTTTGGGGATTATTTTATAAAACCTTAATTGTACAGATCGCAGACTTGTTAATTCAAGTTTCAACTGTTTGTAACTTTATTTGCCTTTGATCGTGTATTTACTTATCGGTGTATTAAAATCATTGTCAGTGACTCTTTGCATTAATGCAGGCTTGCTCTTTGTTTTGCTAGACGTTCAGAGATTAGTGATAGAGAAGTCTTTCGTGATAGTCGGCTGTGGCGAAGGCCAGATAAATTATGCCGGCATCATTTTGGGCATAATGTTGTAGTCAAAGCTTGAAGCATAATCTCGGCTTAATGACAAAACTTCTAAACAATTCTGTTGATCTTACTGTTCAACAAGACATAACTTCTGTAGTTTGAGTACTGTGAACGGTGAGCCTGCTTTTCTTGCTTGAAGTTTAGGAGTTTGATCCAGTAAATTGGTTTGTTCTGAACTTTGGCGAACCTTTTATACTTAGCAAGTTTACCTGTTGTTGGTAGGAATGGTTGAGCTATTATTTTGAATCAATAGACTGAGCAGAATGAAACATCTTGAACATAATATTTGGCCTAATATCATATTTTTAGCATTGACGCCCACAAGCTTAACGCTCAAATTTTCGTGCTTAATCTACCTAATCCAAGCTATAACTGTTTGGCCTGCACGATAACAACACGCATTGTCTGACACGCTCTTTTCACGTGCTTTTGCTCACTGTAATCACATGATGTTTTATTCCTCGCGTACTACTGAAGTTCACTTGCTACATCGACAGCCAAGTGTATACTTTTCAGACGGGGGGCACGAACTTTACTGATGCCTTAGCTGATAACGTAGCAGTTAACACTTAATGGCTTTCCATTAGCTTTTCATTTCTAGATGCTTCCTTATTAGGACCAAGAAGTATGAGTATGAATCACGTGTTTTCATCTAGGATAGAAATTTGCTGCCCGTCGAAGTCAGCGTCTTCCTTCTCGCAGTTTGAGTTGACTAATAGGAAGAGAAGAACCTTAATGGGAATGTTCACCGACTGATGTCGTTGACAACGACACCGCGTTAGCGCGTATGTAAAAACAGTGAAATGACCTCGCTGAATGAGGTTTGTTTTCGCCCAAAATTGATTGCTGTCATCTTTGGCATCAATAACCGTCCTAATAATCTTGCAATTCCAGTCCCTCCGTGGTTGAAAGTCGAATCGCGACTGAAGCCATAATCATTTTTGTTACCTAAATAGGGGTCACTTGGAAAATATGACTTTGGGAAATTTTAGTATCGATGAGGGGGGATATGCTTATTTAAATTATATAACTGGATAGTTCCCCCATCGTACCTTAGAGGTACAATTTCGCCCTATACCTCCCTCCCTCAGGGAGTGTACTCAAATTCGTTCAAGAAACTTTGAAAACAATCACGTCCCCATTGTGCAACATAATCAAAACATAATCCATTGACCCACATCCGCAGCTTTAAGTTTGTCTAAGGAAAACAAAGCCAAGTTATAAATAGAAGTTATTTGAGAAGAAGATTTGACTCTGTCGTCGAAATGTCTTATTCCAGCAAAATGAGATTTTTGCTTACGAACAAAACTAACCTTGAAACTCTTGTAAGCCACAGTTTAAGCTCCACCGGCAGACGGCAGAGTGTAGTGCACAATAAACTTGCATCTTATCTCACCTTTAGGCTGATGTAGTTTGAAAAGGAGCCAAAGATTGAATTGTTCCAAGCGCAACTACCCCGGGGGGGCGCTTTTACTCGGAATCAGTTTTCTTGTTTCGTGTTAAGTTTAGCTACCAACGTCCACTTGTTGCCTTTTTTTGATAGTCAATTTTGTTTCTAAGGGAATACTTGAAAACATGCCAAAGCACCGATTAAATTAGTTCACATTTTTCGTTTATCACATTAAGTTTGGACATATATGTTTCTACTCACTCTGTTGCATTAAGTGTACCCTCCCCCCCCCC